TATCATATTGATAGAATTCTAGAAACAGTATGTCTTTCTTTTCAGTATTGCCTTTGTGTATTTTTATTGCATTTTTAATGTTTATTATGTTAAGAAAAAAAATAGAAGTACAATTTCTTATCCTTTTTTACAAACGAGTTTTTATTTCACCCGTCCTCTGGACGGGTACTTCAACTAGTGTATAATATTTTGTTTTACGTTCACTTATAACTATTTCAAGACCATACAAATCTTAAAATGGGGGTTATATGCAAGCTGACCTAATTTATGAGGTTTTTTTTCTCCATTTGATGGTTTTAGACGCTTCTACCCTATATCAATTATAGCTTCATAACATAATATATTCATATATAACATCATACATATTCATTCTTTACTTTAGCTATCATTAATCAGTCTTAATTGCTTCAAACTGATATGATATTATCAATCACATTCACCTTTACTGTCCTCGAGCTAGTTAGCACAACTTAGCTTTACCTCGATCAAACTATCCTAATAAAGTTTGAAACACAGCTCAATTTACAATGCTTTTTAGGGGTGTCACAGCTCAGTCTTACTTCCCTTAAATCGGTAGGACAAAGTTTAAAACATTTACTTTCAAAGGTCTGGTTTGTAAAAATAAGCAAATAGCAGTAAGCCGTGATATGTTGAAAATAGTAGTTTTTTTTTGTTTTTTGTTATAAAAGTATGTTAGTTTTTCAGTGTTTTAAAGCGTACAACTTCAACTATACTCATTAATTATTTGAAAGTATAAAAGGTCAAATACTACAATGTTCCTCCAAATGAATTTATACATCTAGGCTATAGAAGCTGTCGATTGAGAAAACGCAATTTTTCAAAACAAATATTATCAACTCGAAGTATTCATTTGTTTATAAAAGAAGCATTTTGGAGCACAAATAAAGAGGATAAAACAGACTCGGTCTTACGGTTCTAACTCTTTCGACAGGTGGACCTGTCGTCCATGGATCCTTATTTAATGACATCTGAGCAGAGTGTAATTCTTTAATAACTTCAAATGAAGGTGGAATACTTAGTTTCTTGTGCGTGCATCTGCAGTACCTCAACATCTTTGGAGACTACTTTTAGCTATCTTGTCAGTACCTCATAGTCTGCAGTTTGTTCTCAGAAGTAATTCTGTAACTCTCGGTCACACCATAATACACTTAATTAAACGTCATTGACCCAGAATCTTGTATATGCTATTTATGTGCACACGTTTTCTCACACCTAATTAAAAATACCTTAAAATTCATGAGTTAAACGACCAAATCAAAAACCCCAGCCCAGCGCCCCAGTGGCATAGCGGTATGTCTGCGGATTTAAAACGCTATAAACCGGGTTTCGATACCCGTGGTTGGCAGAGTTCAGATAGCCCATGGGGTAGCTTTGTGCTTAACTTAAAACAAACAAACAAAACCCCCAAGTTTCAAGCATAGCCTTCCAGATTACGAGTTGTTGGTATGCGTTGGATCAAAGCCATCCCTAATTTAGAATTGCTGACTAGAATAAGAATAATCAGCCAACTGTGCGTCTAGTTTTGAATGAATAAAGGATCTAACTGTCAGTTATATTACGTGTTCACAGCTGAAGATGCAAAATGTGACATATGTAGGCTCGAACCTTAACTTCTGCGTAGCTGGCACACACCCGTTTAACATATACTTGAAGCCAGATTAATAGTTAGTTATATTATACATATATATATATTGCGCTTTAGCATTAAAGCAATTACACAAAACAGTCAATTATTCAGAAACAATACATATTCTAAGGATAGTTTTTTATCAACGCTAAGTGATAATGTGAAAAGCAAATATAGATTTGGATAGATTATCCTCGTTTTGTATAAGTAATTATTATTTTTGAACAACCGAGTTTGCTTCAAGCATTTATATACAAACAAACAAAATGATTAATATTAGTGCTAAGATTTTTTTCCCTAACTTAATGTATTCTGCTCATGCTCACAACCTCCACTTCTGTCTTACTTGGGGCTGGTATGACTTATTAGCCTACGTTAAAGCGATACGAAAACAATTTGTTCTAATTAGTCGCCCTGTTTACTTGGGTTGTAGGTGTGCAATTTGATTGGTAAGATAGTTCTACTCCCTGTGACTCCTATCTTGATATTCATGCTCAAAAAAGTGTTTAGTGTAATAACTTGGCTTAAGTGCTCCCAGTGGAAAACACAAGATAACACAAAATACATTAATGGTTAAGTATAAACCATGTTCATATTTCAATGTCAGTTAATAAGAGAGATTAATTGCATCACAGCATGATGCCCTTGGTTTTCATTTTCTTCTTCTTTTTTTTCTCCCTTTAACAGGGAACGACTAGGGGTCAAGACTTGCTAGATGTCGTCTTCAAGCACCTGAATCTGTTGGAAACGGCATATTTCGGCCTACGTTTCGTCGACTCTTCAGGTCACACTGTAGGTTACCTATAGAAGGTCTCATAGTTAAGGACTCACGATAATTTTAAGTGTATAATAATGATAAATGAACTCTTCGAGTATATAATTTGATAAGAAAGTGGCAGTTTAAAACGTAGAGTCATGAATTAAAATCCTTCATGTTCATGTTCATCTAATCTGAATAATTTATTATATTATCCTGTGAATTATTGCTCTGATTCAGGTTTTCCATTGTTTGTGTAATCATTGCCGAGCAAATAGACTTTATGTAACATAGTTAAAATTAACACATTACATATTAATTTATACCATTTATCCATCAGAATTACATGATTATAATTCCAGATCAATTTCTAAGTACGCAAGATCTTTTGTTAAGAAAATTACATGTCTTATGGTCTCTATTAGGTTTTAAACGATTTGATGAGACAACAATCTCCCAGGTCAAGAAAACTATCTCAACATTACTACATCAAACTCGTGTTTGAATAAATGAAACAAAAATCTATCGTTTATCGCCAAACCATGAGACATAAAATCTAAAAGCATAGCAACCTAAGGTCGTTTAAACTGCTCCTCCCCCCCCCCCCCCCGGTGACTCTGTAGTAAGTTTGAAAGCTTGTAAGAAATTACTCAGTGCATTGTTGCTCCAGTAAGAGAGCCTAAAGCTCGCAAAAGAAATGTTTTTTTTAACGTAGAGTCCGCGTGTAATTCTACATAGTCTGTACTAATCTTACAACCCTAATCTCTAATCTAAGTGATTAATAGTTTGGTTTGTTTTTAATATTCGCACAAAATTATACAAGGACTAGTTAGCGCTATCCATCCCTAATTTTGAATGGATAAGACTAGAAAACGGCTACTCAACAAAAAAAACCCACAAAAAACTCTTGGGCTACTCTAATCGAATAGTAGTTCACGACTCGTTGCCCCAAGAACACACTCCGCACTTTGGAGCCATGTGTGCGCTTTAAGAGTAACGGTCAAATCCCTCTATTCGATCAGACAAAAGTAGGTCATGACTTAGTGGCGGTGAGGGTTATTGAATACCTAACTTCACTCTAGTTTATCAGTTCAAAATTAGGGACAGTCATGCGCATATTGCCCTTGTGTAGCTATGTGCAAAATTCTGAAACAAAAAAATTAATCGAAAAAACCATTTCATCATTGGTTATAAAACTAACAAAAATTGTCTTGGCATACACACAAAAACACATAAATATTTATAAGAATAACCTTTAGAGTGTATGAAATGCACATTCCTATATTAGTATGCAGTACCTCTCTCTCTCTCATACACACACACATGGCACTCAAAAGTTTCTTATGTATGTCCCCAAGGCATTTCTAGCAATTACTGGATGTAATATGTAGAACCACCTAGAATAAAATGTGGCAGTAAAATTAAATTAAGGAATGCTTTTTCTTGTCCTTTCAGGTTTTCTGGTGATGAGCAACTAAATAAAAATTTCATATATCTGCCCAATTTGGCAACTACCTCCATCCCTCTTCCGTGTAAAACAGGATTTTTCTGTTGTATATGTAATATGGCTTTGCAATTTGGCAGAAAATTCACTTGGTGTAAATTGTGTTATATTATTTGTGCTTTATTTCTTTGATCTTAATACCTACTGATATTAACGAATTGATTGTAAATAAATTAAATCATAAAATATTGCACTGTCAAACTATTTTTATCAGCTATAAGCTACTAACACTTTGAAGTTTTCTACGGTATCACATTAATTATTTTCATTAATGTACAGTAAGGTTATCTTTTATAATTGGCCCGGCATGATCAGGTGGTTAGGGCGCTCAACTCGCAATCTGCGGGTCGCGGGTGCGAATTCCTGTCCTACCAAACATGCTCGCCCTTTCAGCCATGGGGTGATCCATAAAAAATCATAATAATAAAAATAAATTATAAAAGATTGTTTGTTTTGAATTTCGCACAAAGCTACACGAGGGCTATCTGCGCTAGCCGTCCCTAATTTAGCAGTGTAAGACTAGAGGGAAGGCAGCTAGTCATCACCACCCACCGCCAACTCTTGGGCTACTCTTTTACCAACGAATAGTGGGATTGATCGTCACATTATAACGCCCCCATTTCTTCCCACAAACTATATTGTAGCTGCTTGGTAACTAGTGTGAAAATCTGATTCGAGATTGTTGCATGTGGTAAATCTATGTACGTTATTGTCTAAGATTTAGACAAGAACTTATTAGAAAATAAAAACAACCTTCGTTTCGTTCCGCTTTAACATATTTGCCTTGTAACTGATTGAGGTATTCAGAACAGTGAGAAAGAATCGTGGTTTTTTACTGCGCTTATTTACACATTATGTTCCTAAAGTTAGCGCATTAATATTTAATACATTGTTATGATGTTCTATTTTTTTTTCTTCTTCTTCTTATCTTAAAAGTGGCATCTGTTGTTTTGGATTATCTGGCAAAATATTTCTGACGTAAACATGATACGAGCTTTCATTTAATGGCAGATTAATCCAAAAATTTCGAAGTAAACATGATACGAGCTTTCCTTTAAGGATTATCTGGCAGTAAATGAAAGCCCGTATCATGTTTACGTCGGAAATTGGTTTGGAATATCTGACATTAAATGAAAGCCCGTATCATGTTTACATCGGAAATTTTTTGGATTATTTGGCACTAAATGAAAACCCGTATTATGTCTACGTCGGGAATTTTTTGGATTATTTGGCATTTAATGAAAATCCGTATCATGTTTACGTCGGAAATTTTTGAATTATTTTACATTAAACGAAAACCCATATCAATTGTCATGCTTTCTTTTTTATCCTGATCAATAGTGTATTGCTTTTATATTATTGTAGTTTCTGTATAGTTAAATAAAATGCAAATATTTATTCAATATTACGCTTTTGATATTTTCCAAGTCGATTCACTATGATAAGTGTTTCGTGATTCGGCATGGTAATGTAATACACATCAATGTATATTACTTGTACTGTACAACCTTGCATTTTACTTAACACTCTTTTTATAAGTTCCACGAATAACCAACAAAGTTTGTGAACAAATGAATAGTTCTAACAATAAAATTTTATGTCACTTAAACAATAATTTTTACATTTACCATTGCTGTAGTTGAATTTTAAGTTATATCTATTCTGTTGTATTCGAACAACGAATCTATTAATAAAATTAATAATCTGTTGAAACACAGTCTCCTTTGTAAACTGTGTTTGTTTGAGTTACATAAAGAATATTCACGAATCTTCTCCACCTCACAATATAAATCAGTAGACTCGGATTTTCCTCACTGTTAATCTGAACCATCTTAAACTTGATTGTTTCCTCATATTTCCAATATACTAGTTACAAGTTTTCAGCGTAAACGGGGAAACTATTCTAGATATTCTTTGTCCGAGATACTTAACTAAAAATCTAATCGCACAATTAAATAATAACGCAGGACTGCGAATTTAAACTTCATAAAAGTTGTTTTGGTTATAATAACGGATTTTCCATAATTTAACTACGCAAATTTCGAAAGTAACCTTCTTTTTTTTTTTCTATCACGTAAGGAATTTTTACAAATAGGGGGGGAAAAACACTTACTTAGATCAAAATATTATTTCGTTGACCACATTTTTTTATTATTATGTTTGTTAAGAAAAATACAAACAAACTGAAGAAAAGGGAAGATCATTGATGTCCAACGAATACGCATCCTCATTCATCCTTTCATTCTCAAAACTTCGTGTTGTGATCTTTCTTTTATGTATTACGTTATGACGTTTTGTGGAAAATCTGTACGTGATGAAGAAAAATGTATATCATTTTCGGATTCAGCGTACAGGAATTACCATAGAACATGAAAAAATATTAAGACAATAAAACCATCGCAGGCCTGTGTAATTATTAGGTTTGTTACCTTCAAACTCTTCATATTTTGAAGTTGAACTTTACTATTACATATATAAGGATTGAACGAGTTTGCTCAGTAGTTTGCTTGTCGGAGTAAAGATCTGCTGGTCCAGCGTTCTTGTCCCGATCCTGAAAAATAATAAAAAATACAATTGCACTGCGCACTTTGAGACCGTAGGTGCGTTATACAGGTGACGATGAAATCCCACTGTTCGATCAGACAAGAGTAGCCCAAAAGTTGACCGTGAATGCTATTGACTAGCTGTCTTCTTCTAGTTTATCAATTTAAAATCAGGGTCGACTATGCGCAGCTAGTTCTTTTATAGCTATGCGCGAATTTACAAAAGCAACGAAAACAATGAAGTAGGCTCTTGCTACAAGTACTGGCGTCTTTCTTACTGTCTAGTTTTCCAATTAAAAACATTTTTTTACAACGTATATCATCCTATTCTTCCATGAGTCCATCCTAGTTTTTCACGTGTTTAGTTGTTTATTCTTAACTGTTAGTTATTTCTAATTGCAAGATTGCTATTTTTTATGCATTTGATACGACGTTCTTACAATTGAATGTTTGATATAAACTAAGCCCAAATTAATGAAAGTATCTTATATATAACGAAGTTTGATTCTGTTTACTACACAATTAACGATGAATGTTATACAACTTACAGACAAAACTTTCAGGTTGGTAATAATAAATTATTACACGTGTAATATTTTATGTTTATTTCACAATAACAACTACAAGTCCTTGCAGACCAATGTATTTGGCCTTACCTTGTACAGAGCATATTATATAGCTTTCAGATAACTTCTGAAACAATTAGAAATTGTAAATGTGTCGCACTCTTTCCAAAATGGCTGATCCTTTGCAGATCTTGCTGTAATTGAGATAGAATCTTATTTGGAAAAATATCAATGAAAACTGGAGTTTTTGTTTATATCGTATCCTTTTCTAAATTATGTTTGGAAGTTAATATAGTAAATTTATACATGCTATTATAATTTGATCTTTTAAAGTTAATTTGGAAGGGCCTGTTACTTTAATGATGTCAGTTACCCGTGAGTAACTTCAGCTTTTATTGCTTAAATTGTGCTAAATACGAAGAAATAATGCGAGGGTAAAAAAAAAATAATAATCATATTAGTCTGTCTTTCAGGCCTAACTATACAAACAGTTATAATTTTTTTCCAGAATTTTCCTTATCAGAATGTATAAGAGTCACAACTATATACTAACAATTCGTACACATGAACATGTTTCTTTGTAACGGCTTATCTACGTACGTCATGGAATGTTATAGAATTCCACCTGGCCGTCCGCATCGAATAAGTTCCCGATAATAAAGGAATAGATATTCATAACCTCGATAAAGATATTTTTTGACGATTTTTCTTTCATATGGGAATAGTATTATGCTCGACAAACCTTGCAAAATTATTTTAAAATTGCACGCACGTTTGGCCTTCATCAAAGGACGTATTACTGCTTATTAACTGAATGTAAGTGCCAGAGGCTGTACAGCAACCTCTCACAAATATTTAACATGTCGAAACGGATTGTCCTTGTTATCTACAGGTGAAGATAATTATGTCAATAAATTCTTTTTCCAAATAGATTAGCCATGTTCGAACGAGCCTTTCATCTTATAGCTATGTAATTAAACCTTATTAAGTGCTTACGTAATACAAACACATATGGTGCACAGAAGGAAACTTATCTGTTCGTCTTAACTCTCTAAGTGAATTGATAACTATAGTTTTCGACTGTTTTTACGTACTCTGAACACCTATAGCTGATATTTTTTCTGTTTTATATACGGAATTTATCCAAGGTTTTTATTTGATTCGTATATACATGTTTCAAATGCTTCAGTTAGAAAAAAATTTGGCTGACTTTAAATACACATATGCCTTGTGGAAAGCATATGTAATTATGTGTCCTTCGTTTTTACAAGATGTGTGTAGTAATTTTGTATTAATAATATATGTATATATATTTACAGCATTGGCTAGAACCAACCAAGAAAGTGGTGAAACAGTTGAAGGGTAAGTTAAGTTTGATTGAGGTTATTATGAGTTTTATGGATAACTTGTAAGTATGAATATTCAACCATCATAAACAGCTTGTTCAACTTTAATACATTTATTTTTCTGTTCTTTGTTTTTGCAAAGTAGCTTAATACACATATGTAAAAAAAATATAAATAAAATATAGTTCCCCTGAAACTGTTCCAGCATCATGTGAACAGTTGTTTTTAATATAACTTGTAGAGTAAACGTTTTTATTATCAACAGTAGTAGAAGTTAAATGTGCTTTTCACACACACACAATGATACTAGTTAATCATTTTACAATTTGCTTGTTTCAGTTGTTTTTTATGTGTCACTGAAATGCGTACCGCCATGCTGTGAATGACATTTGAACGTGTTCGTAGTACGGTCATAGGTACTACCCGTACAACTTTTAACATTTGGAAAGGTACGGGCTGGACGTGGCGTAATGGTTTTCGTGCCCTGTCTGTGAATCCAACGGCTTATAGCTCGCGTTCCATTGCCACAAAAAACGCGCTCCGCAATTTGCAGGTATGGGTGCTGTACTGTACAAGAGTGACAGTCAACTACTACTACCTGAGCAGTTAAGAGTAACTCAATAGTTAATTGTGGGTGCTGTTGACTAGCTGCCTTACCTCTAGTCTGTTAACTCGAAATTACGGACAGTACCTCTTTCAGTCGTTCTGCGTGAAATCCTGAAATAAACAAAAGAAAAATGCTTTCATTTTGTATTTAATATCATACTGAATTCTATAATGCTCCCCACATCCACTTACCCATTTATTTTCTATTTTGTTCGTATTTTTTGTTCTAATAATCATGTTCTGGTATCAGTATATTTTACTCTGTTTGTGATGCCTTCAACGAAACAGAAGTACACAGGTTAAATTTCTAATTGAAGATCATTTTACATTTTTATGCATGTTTTAATGACTTCTCAGTTATTATTGGTGACATTCAGATAAAATTAATTTAGATTTCATATTAATACGTCTAAAATAAATATGGGCCCGGCATGGCCAAGTGGTTAGGTACTCGACTCGCAATCTGAGGGTCGCGGGTTCGAATCTCCGTCCCACCAAACATGCTCGC